CCCACCCAAACCATTCCATGATTCTACAAGTCCCATGGGGGCTCAGGGGCAGTGCTGAGGTTTGTGTGAAAATGCGACCCCAAACACCCCCAGTTCCTCTCTGATCCTGCTCTGAATGTCTCAGAAAGCAGCAGCTGTGACATCTGTGGGCCTGAAACAGCACGAGAAGATCTGGTGTTTAAGTCCCTGCCCATGGCAGAGTTTTGGACCAAGATGAGCTTTGAGGTCCCTCCCAACCCAAACCCTTCTGGCATTCTGTGTAAGGATGCCTTGCAGGCAGTAGGACTGACCAGGCCGGAATTTTTCGGGTCATACCACTTTCTCCTAAACCTTTTTGAGCCCTCATTGCCCTTCTCCCATCTCCTGAGGCACCACAGGAGCAAGGGCTGCCTTCTCCCAGCGCTGTGGGTTCCCTGGTCGTCGTCCCCGTGCCGTTGGGATCCCGGGCCCGCTGTGGGCTGAGCTGTGTGCCCCTGGCCCGGGTGTTGCTGCCGTGCCCCATCCCGTGCTGTGCCCACAGGTGGCCGTGTGTAACCTGGCCTCCATCGCCCTCAACATGTACGTGACCCCCGAGCACACCTACGACTTCAAGAAGCTGGCAGAGGTCACCAAGGTCATCGTCCGGAACCTCAACAAGATCATCGACATCAACTACTACCCTGTGCCAGAGGTGAGGGCTGGGCTGGGGGCAAATCCTGCCAGAGCCCGGGCTGGAGCAGTCCCAGAGCAGGCTGGGACACAAGGAGTCACTGAGGGACTTTATAAACCTGTTCCCAGGTGGGCCCTGTTAGTGCAGCTGGAGCTTCAACCCAGAGCTCTTCCATAGGGAAGCAGTTGTAGGAAAAGCCTCCCCTTGAGGTGGTTCTAGGGATTGTTTCATGTGTGGGGATTTCCATAAAGCACAGAACAGCCCTAGGAACAGAGCGGGAAGTGCAGCAGAGAGAGGGATCCTGGGAAGATCCCAAGAAGGTGTAACTCAGTCCTGTTGGTTTTACAGCTCTCTGAGAGGATGGTGGAGCTGGGGGGGGTCGGGCTCTTCTCCCAGGGAACAAGGGACAGGAGGAGAGGGAATGGCCTCCAGCTGTGCCAGGGGAGGCTCAGGTTGGACATCAGGAATAATTCCTTCCTGGAAGGGGCTGTCCAGCCCTGGCACAGCTGCCCAGGGATGTGGAGTCACATCCCTGAAGGGATTTAACAGCCCTGTGGATGTGGCACTAGGGGACAGGGGTCAGTGGTGGCCTTGGCCATGCTGGGGGAACAGTTGGACTTATGATCTCTGAGGACTTTTCCAACCTCTGTGATTCTATGATTCTGCTCTATTAAATGGACCTGTTTCCAGGCACGGGCTGAGTGTTCACTTCTAAACCCTGGCTCCCCTTACCAGGTTAAACAATTGCAGCCTGTGACCAGTTCGAGCAAACCCAGTCTGGGCCTCCAGTTCTGCCCCAGCAAACAGCAGCAGTGGGGCCCTGGGCAGGCCTGAGGGGTGGGTTGGTGCAGCAGAACGGAGGGCAGGCAGCAGCAGGGTTTCCTCCCAGAGGCCCGGTGTGTTCCCCATGGCTGTGCCCAAGGTGACTGCTGTCCCCGCTGTCCCCGAGGTGACCACTGTCCCCGCTGTCCCTGAGGTGACCACTGTCCCTGCTGTCCCCGAGGTGACCACTGTCCCCACTGTCCCTGAGGTGACCAGTGTCCCCGCTGTCCCCGCAGGCCGAGCGCTCCAACCGGCGGCACCGGCCCATCGGCATCGGCGTGCAGGGCCTGGCCGACGCCTTCATCCTCATGAGGTTCCCCTTCGAGAGCCCCGAGGCCCAGCGCCTGAACCAGCACATCTTTGAGACCATCTACTACGGGGCCCTGGAGGCCAGCTGTGAGCTGGCCCAGGAGCAGGGCCCCTACGACACCTACCAGGGCTCCCCGGTCAGCAAGGGGGTGAGTGCCAGGAAAACCTGGGAATGCTCGTCCTGGGCAGGGCTGGGGCACAGGCGGGAAGGGACCGGGCAGTTCTGGTTGGTGGCAAGTTGGATCTGAGTCCTGGGGTGCCCTGGCAGCCAGGAGGGACATCCCTGTCCCAGGGGCATCAGGCACAGCACTGAGGGGGGGGATTGTCCTGCTCTTCTCTGCACTCACCTCAGTCCTGGGGGTGTTTAGGGCACCACGATACAAGAAAGATCTGCAACCATTAGAGAGCACCCACAGGAGGGACAGGGGGATGGGGAAGGGTCTGGAGGGGCCCTTGAGGAGCAGCTGAGGGCACTTGGCTGGTGCAGCTGGAGCAGAGGAGCCCCAGGGCAGAGCTCAGCGGGGGCTGCAGCTCCTCCCAAGGGGCAGCTCCGACCTCTGGGAGCAGGGACAGGAGCCAGGGAAGGGCTGGAGCTGGGACAGGGCAGGCTCAGGGTGGATCTCAGGACAAGGTTCTTCCCGCAGAGGGTGGTGGGCACTGCCCAGGCTCCCCAGGGCAGTGGG